CGCACATTCTTTGCATGCACACATGATAAAATCACCCATCTAGCCTATCTTCTGGGACATAAAATATATCTCAGTTGATTTAAAGGATTTGAAATCAAACCACAATGGAAAAAAAATGGAAATAAAATCATGTGCAGGAAAAAATACCTAAGTGTATAAAAAATTTTTGGAAAAGGGACAAGAACCACATAGATTCATGTATCAAAGAAGAAATCATAATGAAGTGAGGAGATGTTTCGAATTCAAATTGAAAATAACCTGAGTCTTTGTAAAGAAATGCACATCTCAACATTTGTTGAACAGAATCTGAGCAGCATGTGGGGGGAGACCCAGGGGCTTGAGGGGGAAGGGAAAGAAGAAGAAATCGAAAATCGGCGACTACACTTCCACCCTAAGATTGCAGATGTCGCCGGGCAGGGTGGTGCACGCCTGTGATCCCCGTGGCTCTGGAGGCTGAGGCAGGAGGATCATGAGTTCAAAGCCAGCCTCAGCAACTTAGTGAGGCCCTCGGCAGCTCAATGAGACCCTGTCTCTAAATAAAAAAAAATTAAAAAGGGCTGGAGGTGTGGCTCGGTGAACACTTGGGTGCAATCCCGAGTACGAAAATTTTAAAAAAAGAAAAAGAATATATACATGTCTCAGAGTCAACCCCAAAAAGAAGGAAATTAAAAGTGACAGAAATTGGGGTTGGGGTGCGGATCAAGTGGAGCACTGGTCTGGCGTGTGTGAGGCCCTGGGTTCTATCCCCAGCACCACAAAAAACAAACCACACACACACACACCACACACACACACACACACACACACACACACACACACACACACACACCAGGAATCAGCAATGGCAGGCGACAGCGAGAATCAACAAAGCCCAAATCAGAACCGCCCAGAGATTCCAAGAGAAGGGTCCTGCAGCAGTCTCGGCCACCCCTGGGCCACCAGGGGGTATCCACTCTGGAGGGGGACCCTCCCCAAAGCTGGGCTCCAGACCCTCTGGGGAAGCCACATGGCCGTGTGTGAGGGTGGCAGATGGCCCCCGCCACGTGGGCCCCTGTGGGCTTGGGGTTGGGGACTATGGGGCTTTAAACCATCAACAGGGCCCCAGGTGCTCGGCCCCAGGGCATCTCTAGCCTAGAGTGCTGCAGAGGCCCTGGGACCCCACTGCCCGCAGCTCTTCCTGAATGAACCGGTTCAGCCAGGCCCTGGCTCTGCATGGCACCTCCAGCCTTCGCAGCCCCCAGGGTCCACGGGTGAACACGGACGTGAGGGTCCCTGGACACGACGGGTGACTCTGTGTCTCGTGCCTAGTTGGGGATGCTGGAGGCCTGTTTCTAGATCTTTCCAGAAGAGACTGGCCTAGGAGTCAAGAAGACCCTCCCTCACCTTCAYGGGCTGCACGTTCCATCAGCTGAGAGGCAAGGTGAGGGGTGGYGTCCAGCTCAGCCTGGCCGGGCCTGGGCTCCCCTGACCCGCAGCCAGCTGGGCCCTTCCCAGGGCCGTGGTCTCACTGTGTCCTGCGAAGGCGCCTCAGTGGTGGAAGATCACGGGGGGGGGGATGGGATTGGCGCCCTGTTCCCAGGGGCCCTGCCCTTCTGCTGTGTGAGGCAGCTGTGGTCTACAAATGCAGCCGCGGGTGCCAGGTAGTGGGCCTAGCGGGCCGGCCCCTTCCYTTCCTTCCCCAACACTCAGGGCCTCAGTCCTCCATAGGAGCAGGGGCCCAGAGCCACCAGAGCCACCGCCTGGCTCCCATTCACCTCCTGCTGTGTGGCCGTGGTGTGCTTCCTGAGGTCTCTGAGCTTCAGTTCCCTGTGAGGAACTGAGTCGCTCCAGGGCAGCTCTGAGGAAGGACAGAGGTCACAGGGGGACAGGCGGTTCAGCAAGATGACACCAAGGTCTCTCCCCACTGCAGGCTGTGGGACAGAGGAGGCACATGGGGCATCTCAGGGACGTTGATTCCAGGGCACCCAGGAAGGGGGTGGATGGGTGTGCCTGGGTCCCTGTGCTGCCATCCATCCCTGAAGGAACTGGTGAAGGACAGAGACGTGCCTCTCACTCTCACTGTCTGGAGGCTGAAGTTCACCCGGATCCAAAGCGCTTCCTCCAGAGGGAGAAGCACTGGACGTGGAAGGACGTGGCAGGACGAGCGTCCTGGTCAGGCCCTGATCCCACCACCAGKGAGCAGCCTTTTTTTTCTTTCTTCGTACCAGGGATTGAACCCGGGGGGATCTGCCACTGAGCACAGCCGCAGCCATTTTAAATTTTGTTTTGTTCAGACACAGGGTCTCACTTCATTGCTTAGGGCCTCACACTCACCATCCTCCTGCCTCAGCCTCCTGAGCTGCTGGGATCACAGGTGAGCTCCGMGCCCGGCCCCAACGGGTTAGTCACACAGGACGGGGGCCATCTGCTCTCAATGTTGCCACTCGCCAACCTGGAGTCCTGTGACAATGATGGCGCCCTGATCCCCAGGATCTGTGCACGTGCCCGCTCAGGGTCTTTCCGAGATGGCTTATTAGAGACCCTGGGGTGGCCCTTCTCTAATGTGACAGTGTCCTCACAGGAGGGATTTGGAGAGAACCCGTGTGGGGATGGGGGTGAGGCCAGAGGCCAGCGAAGCCCAGACGGCCCAGGGCACACTGTCCTCACCGCCTCAGGAGGGACCGGCCTGCTGACCCCTGGCCTGGACTCCACCTCCAGGCCTGGGGGGCAGCATCTGTCGGTCGMACAGCTTGTGTGCCTTGCTTCGAAGCCCCAGGAAACTCGAACTTCGTCGCGGTGGTCAGACCCTTYGGGGACAGGTGCGTCCCGCTGCTGCAGTCCTGGGAACAGGACACCCGTGGGGAGGCCACCCCACTGGCCTGCCTGGACCACCCTCCTCCCTGGCTGCTCCGTAGAGCTGGTCAGGCACGACTGGCGAATGGGCAACCTAGGGTCCTGGCATAGGGTCACCTGGGCACAAGGCTGAGGGGGCAGTGCTGCCCAGTGGAGGGAGCTGGCTGTGGGCGGGAGGCTACTTGGGAGGTGCTCCTGGTGAGGTTGGGGTGGGAGGCTGCAGGCGCAGCCCTGGAGCGGGGGGCCGGCTGGGGTGGAACTGCAGGGGCTTTGAGGACAAGCACCAGGTGGAGCTGGGCGCACCCCCTCCCCCGCAGGTCCCAGGCGGGTCCCTCACCTTCCTGCCTCGMTTTCTCCCACCTGTCCAGCCTCGCCTGGCCGCTGGGCTGGCCCACAGGACTCTTGGGAATGGCCTGAACCGGGAAGGAAGCAGCCCTGGGCCTGCAGCTGTGCCCCTGGGGCTCCTTCATGCCACAGACGTTTATGCCAAGCACCAGCCACGTGCCAGGTGCCCTCAGATGCTGGGATTTGGGGAGCTCTGCCAGACTTCTGCCCCATGACACAACAGACACAAGCATGGAGTAGGTGGTACAGTCTGAGACTCCAATAACAGGACAGGACAGGCTCACTGGGGGCGCTGGGGAAGCTGTACCTGGAGGGGAAGTGGTCAAGGCCATGTCTTAAAGCAGGTCAGGGAGCCAATGAGGAAGGCAGCTGGGGAAGAGCATGAGGGGCCCAGGGCCCAGCAGGTGCAAAGGCCCTGTGTTGGGACCCTGCTGAGTGGTTCGAGGAGAGCCAGGAGGCTGGAGGCCAGTGGGTGTGGGTGTGGGCCCTGGAGCCACAGTAAAGGAAGGGAAGCAGGGGCTTCAGCTGTTGCTGAGACGGGAGCAGCTGGCTTTACCAGCTGCCATCACTGTGGGCTGAGACCACCCACTGGGGTGGGGGACAGGGAGGRCAGGGGCTGCAGGAAAGCAGCCGATGAGGTCCAGGTGATTCTGAAGCCGTGTGGGACATGTCCCATCTCCTTACAATCCGACAGCAGAACTGAGGGATTGCCCATGGCCGGCGTGGAGGTGAGGGAGGTGGCTCCCCAGTGCTGGCCCACAGTCAGAGGCCTGTAGGCCCCCGAGGTGGGAAGGGGGCTGGCCCTTGGTGGCCACAGCAGACAGAATGGCTAGCCAGGAAGCGGAGGTCATCCACGGAGTCCAGGAGAGCAGAGGCTGCGCTGGCCTGGGAGCTCCAGCGTTCGGTGATCAGCAGGAAGAGCCTGGAGCAGAGATGGAGGGGCAGCCAGCAGGGGAGCTGGGTACCATCAACCRGGGTACCATCAACCAGGGTGCCCAGTGGATCTGGCCATAGGTACCACTCCTGGCCTGAGTTGGGCAGTTCCAGGGAGCACGGCGGGGGCTGCCTGGCAAGGATCCAGAAGGGGAGTGAACTGGAGACTCTGAGTGTGGCTGGCCCAGTGACCCCCAGGGGATGAGAGCCTCCTCAAGGCAGCCTGGGGCASAGCGTGTGGACTGTCTGGGGTGACGGGAGGGGATTGTGCAGTGGGTGGGCAGCAGAGCCAACCTGAGCTCATGCCGTGCAGCAGGCCTGCAGTGGACCCTGMCCTGGGGGTGCCCAGCCCTTGCCTCTTGGGTGCCTCTGTTCTCGGGGCTCCTGCAGGTGGTTGCTTTGGCATTTGACCCACCCTCTGGGCCACAGCTGCTGACCAGGCATGGCCCCTGACCCCCAGGGCCATTACGAGGCTTGCCCAGTGCCTGGAGCTTGGACTCGGGGGTCTAACTTCATTTGGCGGATGGCTCCAAGGCCACAAGTAGGTTCCAGGCCAGGRGTGGGGGCCTCTGTGCCCTGAGCAATGGGAAGGAGCTGGGCAGCAGCAGCTGGGCAGAGAGGAGCCCCGGGCTCCACAATGGCCGAAGCTCCCTGTAACTTTCCCCTCCAGCCCTGGCCCAACAGGGACACCTGCTGCCCGCAGGGCTGGGATGCGGCCAGCTTGGCGGGCAACACCCGGGTTTTCGGCGTCTCCAACGCCCACCTGGCAGTGCCAGGCAAGGACACCAGGACCACAGGGATGGAATCATCAAGGGAGTTTAATGCGCTGTTCAGAGGGAAGCTACACAGGCACAAGACGACAAGCACTGATCTCTACCTCACTACCCACTGGACGGTGCTCCTTGGTCCAAAAAACACTAAGTCTCAAGACAGGGGGGCGGCTACCCCTCCCGGTCCAACCTCTCATGTCCTCACGTGCTGGTTTTTAAAAACCCAATCCAACCAAAGGAGGAGAAAAGCAAACCCAGGAAGAGGAGCCCGCACTCATTCACACCGCGGCCGCGGAGCGGGACGGCAGGGTAACCAATATAGAGGGCGCCTCGCGGCTCACTTTGTTCATCAATAAAAGAATATAAAAATCTTGTTCAACCCAGTGTTGAGTGTATTAAAATAGATCTGTATCGTACAGCACAGTTTCTCCCGGAGTCGTGAAAATGGCAGGAGGGTGGCGGCAGGCTGCGGGTTCCGCCCACCCGGGCTCTGCACCTGTGTCTGCGCGTGGCTCGTGGCTGCGGCCCCCTCGGGCGCACGCGCACTGTGTGATATGCGGGGCGGRGCCCGTTGTGCTGAGTCCCGCAGGCTGGGGATGCTGGTGGGCGCTGGGACTGGCCAGGCCCCGGGGACGGGGAGCCCTTGAGAGATGCTGGGGCCCCTGGGCTCTCTGCTAGCGAGGGGAAGCGGGAGGCAGGGGCTCTCCAGTCTCCAGGGACCAACCCCCAGGGCCACCGCCCCTGGTTCCACCCCACACCCTTCAYCCAGTTCTTCAAAACCCCTCTGGGTGGCTCCAGTCCGGCCTCCCAGGGKAGGTTGCCCATGGGAACCTGGAAGCAGAGACTACCAGGCGCCGAGAGAGAAGTGAGCCCCCACTAGACACCCCACCACAGGAGCGCCACACAGAAATGTAAGGTATTTTTTGGCATAGTGTCTGCACTGGCAAGGCGGGACGGTGGAGGAGAGAGGCTTGGATCCAAACCCCAGATCTGCCAAACGCCCCCTGCATGGCTCCATCCCATCTCGCCCAAAAACTCCATGAGAAAAATACATCGGTAGCAAAAGAGTCCAGACGGTGGGCAAGACGGGGCGGGKGGCCACAGGCAGTGCTGGTCCCCGGGGAAGCCCCTCCCAGTCTCAAGTTCAACAGCTGCGACTCTTCACCTAATAATACTGACAGGAAGCTGCCGTGGCCGGGTGCTGGAGAGGCAGGAGTGCGGCCATGCCCTGCGGGCGCTGGAGAACTACCTAGATCTGCTACCACGTCTCGGTCTCGCCGACGGCTCAACCCAACTACCTACTACTCAGCTAACTGCGACCTCGCTGTCCTCCCCACAGGCCCGGGTGCCACCCTCCGTGGCYGGTGCTGGCTGCCTGCACCTCCCTCTCCCAGGGGACAGCATGAGGTCACAGAGAGGGCTGGGCCCGGAAGATGGAGGCCAGGGCAGCCCAGGGAGGGCTGAGGACAGCTGAGGATGGGGCTGTGCCCCAGTCCCTCTCCCCCACCTGGTTTCCAGGTGTCCCCTCCCACGGGGGAGGGGCAGACTCGGCTTCACCCCCTCCGGCTCTGGGATGCCGGCCTGGCTCCTCCCTTGTCTCCGTGGTCTTTCTGTCTGGTTTTATTTTTGTCTGAAATTCAGTGTTTATGAATTAAGGCCGACAGAACCCCCAGGTCGTGTGAGCAGGGTCCCAATGACTTTCCATGGGCTGAAGATAGGTCCCTAGGGTCAGTTGTGGCCCTGGGGGTGCTGAAGGGTGGAGCGCATGGTGGCTGCTGGGGGCTTGGTCCAGGGCCCCGCCAGCAGCGGGGTGGGGCTGGTGGCTGCCATGGCAACCTGGAGCATCTGCTCGCCCTGGATCAGTCTCAGGAGGGCCCGGAGGCGGTCCAGCGATGACTGGGTGCCCCTCTGGCGGGCCAGCAGGCTGGTCTTGAGTTCCAAGCACTTCTGTGAGGGGGAGGGGGAGGGGTCAGAGAGGGTCTCAGAACTGACCTCCACAGGTATCCTTTGGCAGCTGCCCCTGCCACCCTCCCAAAGCCCCTCCCTTCCACTGCAAAGTCCTGGAACAAAGAGGCACAGGGCCTCTCAGGAGCCAGCCAGGCAGCAGGGACAAGGAGAGAAGACCCAGCCAGACCCCAAGGGCTTGCAGAGCGTGGGGTGGAGGAGCACAACATTCAGCATGGGACCTTCCAGCCAGCCAGCCTCCCCGCCCTCCCTAGCCTCTGTGCACACACACGGTGACACCATCCGCAGTGGGAATGAGGCCTAGGAGGACGTCCCTCTGCTCTGGCCAAAGGCTGCTGGTGTAAATAACACCCTGTTTCCCATCGTGCTAGGAACAGCGGAGCTACTGAGAGGGTTGGGGAGACACTGCACTTAAAGAGCTTCTCTAGGCCCCAGCACTGCTGCTACTACCACCACCACCGCCAACAGCACTGCCACCACCATAATACAACACCGTCATACCATCATCACTACCACCACCATCACCATCATCACCACCACCACCACCACCATCATCATCACCATCACCAGCACTACCACCAGCACTGACACTACCACCATTATCACCATCACCATCATCACCAGCACCATCAACATCACCACCATCACCACCAGTACCACCAACACCACCACCACTACCATAATACTGATACCATACCATCACCACCATCACTATCAACATCACACCATTACCACTACCACTACCACCATCACTACCATACCATTACCACTATCACCTCCACCACCAT